TGCATTTTACACATCTCATTGCTTTGATGAGGCCGTTTTAATTTTTGATTAAATTTGTATGAATAAAATAGAATATATATATATATATATATATTTTTTTTTTATGTATTTTTGTACTATAGCTACTTGTTAGGAGTTCGCACAATTGATCTGAAGTAATTTTGTTGATAAGATTTGTCAAATGATAAAATCTCAGACATTTCTACGTCCTCGGTCGCACACTAATTTCATGATAATGGTACCGTGCGAGAGTGCGCTCGTTACGCTATTTATGAAATTCTGTGTGTTGATCCTGACCAGGATCTTCTATTCGCTAAACAATGATGGATAGATCATTCCGGAGAACTCTTCTTCCGCAGATATCACATCGTTTATTAACATAGCAGTCCCTAAGCCCGTATAGTTGACACATGCAATGCGTAAATAAAAAAAAAAAAAAAATCAAATACGCTGGTAAAACTTCGACTGGTTAAATATCTAGATGTTTACTCGTGCATATGGAGCGATGCACAACGCCTTCTGATGATGCAGAAAATGCCCCGTGTTGTATTTTTTACTTGCGTTTGCGGTGAAGTATAGAGAAATCCAAGCCCCCCTTGTTTCGTTTAATGACGTTACTATTATTATGGTATTTACATCGAGAATTAGCAGGCGTTCAATGACGTTGTTTGCTGAAAACAGAAATAAAAATCGTAATGAGAAGCCTGAAAAATCATCGGTACCTCCAGTGATGCTACAACGTATCAGTGTTGATTATATCTAGCGTTGCATTTATAGGCACAAAACAAATAAACCTTGGACATAGCACTGTCGTTATGTTATCCTCCCGTAAAGCACTTGGTAATCAGAATCAATAGTAAACTAAAGTGGATAATAATAGACCTAAACCTAGCGTCTTCCCAGATAAGCAGATTCCACAATTTGTGTGCAGTAAAGCATATACATTGCATATATCACAATGCCAATGACAACTTCCCTCCTTTTCTCTAAAACGCCCACATACTATCAACAAACTTAGGCGCAAAGCGTGCGGCCCGATATACTCTCCGCTGTACCGAAGAGTATTCACTATACTTATTTTTCGAGATATCGCACGTTTGATGGATTCTTTTCAACAGAACCTATATATTATCAACTATATATAGAATGTCTCCCTAGGTTAAAAACGCAAATTTTGCCTGCCTTACGTATTATATACTCAACATATCCTATATATGTAAGTTTGCCTGACTATAGTCCATCTCTCTTGGGAGATCCCATCGAGGCTGAAGAACGTGTTTGGTACGAAATCAGTACTTCGTGAATTACTGTCTATTTCTATTATTGTTTGAATGATTGGTCCAGGCGTATTTTTTACTTAACCGTATGCCTATCCTAGACGAATTCCTCTAAAAATGGTCATTCACGAGAAAGACTTTACATTATAAGCAACAGGGAATAAAATGTTTTCCGTAAATATTTGAAAACATTTGTTTGGCAATGTAAGTAGCGGAAATAGGAACCTTTACAGTGTGGCTGTACTGCGCAGTTGAAAGATTGATAAAGCTGTAGATTAACTTCAACTGCTGCGTGTGTATACAAATATACGCAACTATTCGTTTTTGTATTATATCATGCTAAAAAAGCAGCCTACTGCGGTTATTTGTAGTCTTCCTATGGTCTGGCAACGATAAGTAGTCGAACAGTAAGCGCGTCGACGACCTTCACGGCGAGGGTCAGGACTGCTACCCTCAACGATGACAAGGCATCCGTATAAGTTTCCGCGCAAAAGAATCAATTAAATTCACAAAACGATATGGCAGTCCAACGATATACGCAGCAAATTCTCGTGAACGCCGATCTGTTTCGAAAAAGAGAACCAGAAGATCTGTAGCACCTGAAAATGTTACATATGTATTCTAATAGTATTGCCTAGACAAAAGTTTACCGCATGGTCCACGGTGATAACAAAGTTGGGCGAAGTACCAAAAATGAAAAGTATGCTTTTCGGTTTTATGTCATTTTAGTCATCGCTTCTTTCTGTAACTGCATCGCTTCTATTGACTTATACCTTCTTTCTTTTCATAGCCCCAAGCGCTTGCTTTCATCTTATGTTGAAAAGCAGAATGTCTTTAACATAAATTCTTACATTGTTGCTGCATACGGGCTTTTATGGATGTCGTGTACAATGACGTTTAAGGCGTTTCGATCTATGCGTTAATTACTTTCTGTTTTTAAACTGAACATTTGCAGAATCGAATCGTGCACTTTGGGTAGCTACCACTCTAGGAGAAACCGCACGTTTCGGTGGGGGGAGTCTAATGCCCCTTAAGACTTTCTCGTATCGGGTCGGCAAACTACTAGGAGCGGTTTTCTCATCCTCATAACCTGGAAAATTCTAGTAAACGTCACAAAGGAACTTTTAAGAGAGAGTTCCAACACGCTTGAGGATCAGTTAGTATCGAAACATGACTAGAATCAATAAACACTTAGTACAGCTGTCACCTATTGCATCAGTCAGCGTGGTAGTAAAGCCCAGTTTCGTCCCGTGAGAGTATCATGTACAGAATAACCCCCCATTACTCGAATTTCAGCAAAAAAAAAGTGTTGATCTTTTGTTATGTATGCTAACGCATCATACTATCTGAAACAAATCTATTACCTGGCCTATGAAGATGAAACTATGATATTGTTGGTCCATAAACGGGTTTTTTTCATTGAACGTGGTTTGATTTAGGAAGGACATAATTGCAGGAAAGAGCTACAATTTAAGCAGGGACAGTTTTTGGGTGTTTGCACATATTCAGCTATCCACATGTCCTATTTAGTAAACTGCGGCTGTTGCAGGTAAAAAGATAACACATTGTTCATGATTACTTTGACATTGTCCCTTGTTTATGCTGTCCACGAATATTCCTCGGTCATTATCTGTTTTTCCACGTTAGCGGCATCGAACGGTTAGAAGAAAGCGGATGCAATGAGTTTTTTGTCAAGAGTAGAAGAAACGCACTTGGTAGCCAATGGATGCCATGGTGCACCCACACTAGCAATGGAGGTTCATTATATCTAACGCCCTGTGAGGTAACCAAACGAGCACCCACCATTGAAAAACGCAAAATAAGGAAGCTGAAATGAGCACTGTTGCTCGTAGCAAAATATTTCAATAACTCCTGAAGGACTGTTTTGTTAAGGTGTCCTCAGAAGGGTACAGCGGCCACCATGACATACTGCGTTTCGAAGTTACCTCTTTTATATTAGATTTGGATAAGAGCAGTCGAATTTTTCTAAAGGTATGGGCAGGCCTCATCTAATAATTTATAAACTTTATATTAGTTGATGTAATTAGCGACCTACTCATTTCTTTCATGGGTTGAAACAACATTTGTCTGAACTAACTTGATTGATGTGGCCTGTATCGCTAGCAACAGCATAAGTCATATCCAGAAACCTATAATAGGTATTAGGTTTATCCACATAATAAACATTTTGGTTGTATAAATTTGCGATGCGCCACTTACTTAAATGTCTGTTCAATGTATAAAAAATGTATGCTGTTATATTTAAACGGTGCCCTACATCAGTCCCTGCTCCAATGGGTACAACAGAAGAGGCTAATTAAATCTTTCTTTTTCGTTGACAAAATGTACGTCTTCATTCGGTGATAGTGAACACATTTAGAAATGCACATGATTCTTTTTTTATATGACCGACCAAAAGTAGACGGTACTTACTCTCCCAATCAGGCTACAGGATACGCATAATCTTACGTTCCACCACAGCCCGAGTCCTCTGTGTAGTCTCAAAATAAAATACACTTCTATTGTTTATCATACCTATCAATGCGATTCGTTGTTAAAAAAGAAGTCTAACAAAAGAAGGCAATCTGTTTGATGGTCAAAGGACAAATGCGCGCCCTATTCTAACTATACGAGCAACGTTAATTGGGCTAAGGATCTAAACAGAGCGCTATCGCAAAATATTGTTTCTTGATTCGCATATTGTTATATAATAGATAACTCTCATTGACGCGTTTCAAATTATCGACTTTTCAGCTCCTTCTAGTATAGACTACGTTGTTTAACCCACAGTGTTGATTTTAATCTAGTCTGAATAGAACAATACAAATCGGACAGCCTGTTAGGCTGATTTGTGGTGAAGCTTAGTAGTTCCTAAACGGACCTACCGATGTTAAACCCCAAACTGCACGCAAACGCGATCGGGAGCGAAGCTGGTAAGTAGACTTCGATTGTTGAGCTTTACAATAGTACGCAAATAAAATACTACAGCAGTCTTCACTCATGGGTCGAATCGATACTCTCAGTGTCGCTGAAGGCGATTCTGAATAGAAGTTCGTGTGTCGTTAAATCTGTTTTTGTTTCTTATTATAATAGCCTGGTTGAAACTTACGAATATGCTGCAGTAACCTCGAACTTGCAATTTATCTATGGTTAGAATATACAGTAAACTATCCATTTGTACAGAGGTCTGAATGCAACGCACGCAAGTTGGATTTTGCGTTTACGTCGCGGGACAGCTCGTGACTTTAAACAGCTTTTTTTTGGCATCAAACAGAAAAATATTAACAATTATATTGATTAGGTCGGCAACAAACAAGGTTTACACGACATCGAGTTGTGTTGTTGCAAACATCCCTTGTATTAAATGACAAATAAGATGTACATATTTATTCAGGTATGTATAAAAATAAATACTTCGTCGATTACCTTCACTGCATCCAGGCTGATTTCTTTTTTGGGGCAAAGCTAGCTTAAAAGCATTTTAAATCTAAAAGGCACTAAAAACTAAGACGAACAATTTGAATTTTCCGAAAATGCAACCCAGTGTTCACTTAGCACGTAAGAGAAGGAAGATACAACTGCTGCACTACATCACAAGCTGTGGTGATCGTAAGAGTCGAAAGTACCTTCTTCTCCCTGCAAGAGACGTTTGCCCCCCTTTCACAGTTATTAAGCCCCTATCGCCTGCCCGAAGATATTTCATTGGCGCGCGCGTAAGACCACAGCTGGCAGAAGCTGTGCCTATTTATGCTTCCGCTTGATTGTTCTGTTAACCATCCATTTGTAAGATAGTTGTTCCTATCACAAAGTCTTGCATTGCCACTGTGCAGAAACTCATAATTTCTGGCACAGAAAATCATTTTAAAAGTGCTACTTTTCGTTATGGTAATACTCTGACTGACCTGAAGTTCTACGACAGGATGCATACATTACTTGTTGTGATCCCTGCGATGATTGTGGCTGTTGGATGTTAGTGTTCTTATTTTTACGGATTTTTATCAATGCCGTTTAGTTAGAACACAATTGTAAAAGTAAGGTTTGCAAAAAGTAAGACGATTCAATAGTTTTTGTTTCTTAGTAAACGCTGAATTCTCCCTCATTTCATTAGGTCTTCAGCTTAATACTAACGCATTCGACCCTGAAAGGCTATTGTTATTGGAAATCATTTGAAGTGACGCTGTTTTTATGGCAAATCACAGTAATGAGAGATAGTAGTGGATGATCTCCGTGCATAGTATTTAAAATCTGCAGGTATCTGCATGGCCTTGCGTCGAAGCGCCGATTCAGCTATCTCGACTTTATCTATCTAGTGTCCTTTAACTAAAAACAAGGCGGCTCAGAAGTTTACTAAGATATATGCATATTTCGTTGCTTCAGCCAGGCCTTCATAGAAATGCTATGCATTTCGCTTAGATCCGCAGAATTTATGTTAAATTTTGCGTGAATTATATAGGCTTCATTAGAACAGCAATATCAATGCTTAGTTTTACGATAAGTGTTTAATACCAATGTGTCAGCACTTTGAATAGTGGCTCTTTGCCGTTGAAGTAGTTAGCAACCAGGTACAGGTACCTCGCATGTGCACAGGCAAAAACTTCTCAAGTTGCTCATACTGATGTTACCATGGTCTCTTTAAAACTTCAGTGACCAGTAGAATCAACGTAACGAATAGAGTTCTTTTCTTTGTTTCATCTTCTTAGGGTACAACGGCTTAGAAAGTCTGAAACGATCGAAGTTTGCATTTCATGCACAGTCAGATTTAGTACCAATGTACACATACATCTAGCAGTTGTTATGGCGTGCGGGCAAAGTTATAAGAAATCAGATATCTCTTTTAAATTTAAAAAACTACGCAGTTTTTTGCTAGCTGTTAACAATATAGAACTCTGTAAAAGAATGCTCAGTATGTATATGTATTTTGGCAAGTTCTTTTTTACGTAGATTCAACGTTGTAACAGTGCCAAATTGGCCCCAGAGGTTCAAACTGCTACTTTATTGCTGACTGTAAGAGAGTGGCTAACAGGTTAACCAATAATTGAGTACAGAAGCATGATTGCCTACCGGTGCTCAAGATTCATATACGATTCTTTGTACTTTCTTCTATTGTCCAACACCACATTTGTAACGTAGTCAGAAATATTCTATTGAATCAGAGGTCATTTTGTTGCGTCTAATGCGTCCAGATGCTTACATGCATTACGATCATAGATTATTTAAGGAGTATTTATTTAAAAAAACGGATCTTTTCATTCTAGCAATGAGTGTTCTTACTTATTTATTCCCGTCTGATTTGGAAGAGTTTCATGTGGATCTAGAAAAAACGACAAGACGGAACGAGTAACGAAATCTAGAGTACTTGTTTAAGATAACACTTGCTGCAACAGCTTGAGCCGTTAGAGCTTAAAAATAAACATCAATTTGATTTTTTATTACAAATTAAGTGCTTTCATTCGGGCCGTACAAAGGCTCACGTGGGCATTTGCGTTAACATATTTAAGCACTCCAATTATCCGAACTACGAAAGCCCCACCCTCAAAAATGCTAGATTTTTACTCAGACTGTCAGAATAACAGCCGACGACATTCCTTTTTTCCATACCTGTTGGCGATAAGGTAATTTCAATTCAAACCATAAAACTATAAATCCTAAATATAAATCCATTTGTTTCATCACAAAACAAAGGAAATCTTGTGTAAGTGCAAATGGCTATCATAATCGGTTATCAACAGTGGCGCATTATACCTACTGCACCCTATTACAGTGGCGTGTGATCCAGACGGTTTCCGCCGTGACTCAGGAACTTGTGATCGGAAATTTCACCAAGATCTTCAAAGAACGGGATTTGATCTTCAAACCAACTATGACTGTTGGTATGTATAACACCATTCTATGTACTGAAAAAGGTTGTGTTGACTTTTTTGATGACCTTTGATTTGATAATGCAGTAGATTCGCGATAATTGGTGGAAGGTTTGTTCAGCGTAAAAAAATATATTTAACTACATTGTTTTGTAAAAATATCTTTAAATCGCTTTTATTTCGAGCCACGTACAACGTTAACTAAACAAAAAGAAGCACAACTTAAGAGCGATCATCGACTTTCCTATACATAACTATTCCTTTCCTATACAGATTCCTAAAAGGAATAGTTAACATTAACAATGGGGAACAATGCCATTACGATTTTTGCAGTCCATTCCATCAAATGGTTGAGTGCATGAAGCTCGCGGCCCGCTTTAGCGACTGCGGCAAGGAACGGCTCCACATTGAAGAGATCAAAAGACTGAGAAGGTCTCAAGGCCTGACAAGACAACATTGTATCGAAGGAAAGGAGCTGTGTAAACTTAATCTGTACGAAATTTAAAGTACTACACCGTTTCTCACAAACTGGATGAATAATTCGACCACATATGCTAGTTGCATTGATTCTTCGCTACAAATTGCGACAAACTGACGACGAATTAGATCTTCTTCAATAGACAAACTAACGCATTTTACGAAATCTTTCTTTATCACATGGGATATCTGCTATACCAACGCATCCTGTAGCAGCAAAATCGCACTAAAAAAAGCTCGTGCTGCGCGTAATCTTTCTAGTAATCTAGAATCTGGTAGATGTTTTTTCAAATCACAGTCATACGAACAGTAGGAACATCGTCGAATGAACAGGTAGGGGATGAGACTATACATTTCCAAAGATCTGTAAAATTGTTGTAGAAATGAAACAACTGCATGAGCAGTAGATCGAAATAATTACGAACTCCATAGCCATCACTCCTAAATGCCGTTACGTTCGCCAGCCTCCTGCTTACAAGATAAATCAGCTAATTATTAAATTATTACAAAACAAAGCTATTGTTTTGAATACTAAATAGACCGATATTTTAAATTAGTAGTGGGTCAGCTAGCGGGTGCTTTATATATATTTCTTCCGGGAGCCTTATCGAACTTGTGGAAGCTAATATAATGTCTACTTTATATACTTGGTTGGATAAAACGTAAAGCGTTTCTTGGCATGGAGTAGCTTTTTATGGAACAAACTGGAGGCCCTGTATATGGCGCCGAATCCTAGTCGAGCCAATATGTTTATATGGATACTCAATATATGATGCCCTGTTTTTCTTCAAATACAAAATTTTAGATACAAATACAATTCTGAGAGTTTCACTAAGACAGTATATTATTAAAGTGTCGTCGGACTTGTGAGCCTCATTACTGCTGCCACACCCCGAAATGTTACGAAAGTTTATCACACATTGTCCTATTGTAGTAGGAATAGTACCGTTTAATGGCACTGATACATTTTTACGCTTCATGAATCGCTTCAAGCAAGGCATTTTAAGATGCTTTCATACGGGTACATAGGGCTCGTGGGCTTGATAACCCAAACAACAAATAATGTGATGCACGCAAGAATATAAAAGCTTAGTAAAACATATCAGATGTTTATGTAGTATACGGCAACTGCATTATTACGAAATTAGTACTGCTGTACCTTCTGTAAACCCTGTAGCAACGATAATCGCTTTTAGGTAGCTTGTCTTAGATATATCTGTGATTTACGAATGGAGACGTTCGTTTATCCATATACTCGTCTAATGTTTAGCTTCCTAACCTTGGTAGCTTCCTAACTTTTTCTTCGTAACGCGTGATCCTGAAATTGTTCGATAAAGGAAATTGTTCCGATAGGAAGCCTTGTTACAGCCGCAAACCCGCCAAAGTTCTAGTAAAGTTTACACTAGTTGACAGCCAGCGTTATTCACTAGAGTAACGTGTGGCTCATTGAAAAAGAGTTCGTGTCAAGCGCTCTTAATACAAACAATACTCTGCTCAAATTGGTCAATAACATAATCGAAGGAGAAATTTGTGTAGCGCTTTTTTTTAATGGGAAATTCATAATTAATATTGCTGTTAAAATAAAACCTCGAGCACGCCTATCATCGTAGCACATAGGACAGAATCACGCTACTAATAATGCTACAACAAGCCCAGCAAGATCAGATTGTTCCCCTCAGATAAAGTCAAAAATGAAGAGAAGTGAATATTCGTCGTGACTACTACTTACAAATATTAACGGTAACAAAAACTACTAAAAAGTAACAAATATCAATGTGTTCCCTCTGACACCTACAAAAGCCGCTTCCATGTTATACAAACAAGTCACTTAAATTTTCTACAAAAGACAGGCAAGTACATATGGTCAACTCAAAGAACTTTTTTAAAAGACACTTCCAGTCATCGCCAGAAGAATGGCTAAAATTACAAAGATTATTAATGTTTTTCTTGGAAAATAAACGCTTGTTGCTTATTTAAATGTTTTAGGTGCACTTTAGAACTCGAGTTCTACAGCTGTGATCAGGACAAACAACTACCAGGTCAGATTAATGGAAACATATTTTTGTCCGAAACTTGTGCAGAAAAGTTATTAAAGGTTGCTTAAGCTAATACAGTCCCATGAAGTCCGCGGCAAGGAGCTGAAGCTTTAAATTTGTGGAATTGCGCTACTCGATCCTGAATATCTACTTTTACCTATGAATAAATATATATACCAAAATAAAATACAATAGGATAGAAAAAGTTGAAATTATAACTCCTACTACATGAAGCAGGCAACAGTTGGGCACGGCTGAAGACATCAATAGCATTGTCAACGGGAAGCAGGAAAAACCTCGTGCAAAGTTCCCAGCAAAAGCAACTGAAAGGGTTGACTAAGCTGCGTGCTGTGGAAAAATGATTTACTAATTTCATATTAAAATATATTGACTTACAGGCTCTAACAAAAAAAAAGAAAAATGGGAAAAGTAGATGAAATTTCAAATAATACAATAAACAAGCCTACGCAAGAACACGCATTACTCAATTATTCTAATTAACTTAGATACCACAAAATTTTATCGTAGCCTTAGCCATGAATTGCTTCAATCCACATATAATATAAGCGTTAGTACATATCTTTATATGAAAACAGACGTAAGGAATATCCTTAACAACATCATCCTACCAAATTAGGAATGAACGTCGAGACAAATACAATATATAGACAAATAAGGAACAATTTATATAATAAAAACAACGTATTTGCTTGACTGTTTATTAAATTTACGTACTTCTAGCTGCTGCTCTTCCTTTGTGTATTTCCGTTATGTACGCAATGTTGGCATTATTTGTCCCCTATTACTAGCTTCACTTTTTTAGGTTTGAAATTTCAAACTCGTTATCTTTTGTTACAGTACAATTGTTTTCGATGTCAAATGTGAGTGTGTATTTGTTTATGTTTTGACAGATGTGACGGTATTATGTAATCGCATTCAGGTAAATAACCTCTACATACAAATCTGGCAACTTCTGTCAACCGTCCCTATTCGATATCTTGGCCCCTTCCTTTCCCGCGTCCAAAATGTCGGTTCCATTCCGTTTTCAAAATTACCCAAATCGGCTTGTCAACGTACGTGAAACGAATCAACAATGACATCATTTTCGGTCCCTTAGTAATGTGGCACCCCCACTTTCAGTAGAGTATCTTCATCGCCTCCTAGCTTCGTTCTCGAAAGCAACTAATTTTATGTCTGTTACATCCCGCTTGTATGTTCAGTTCAACAATATATATTCGTTTGTAGAAAACAATAATGGAATATCTTCGTATCATCACCGTTTTTTCAGTATCAGCATTATCACTACCGCACATCGATCACTCACTCTGAACAACTGATCCTATAGGTGGTAGCTTCCACCCTCCTGCCTCCTTCCTTTTGCTACCCGTTTACAACCATTAATCCATATTCCACACACACACACACACACACGCTCGCACGCACACACACAGACGCACACATATATATATATATATATATATATATATATATATATATGGTTTATGATATATATTTAGACATACATCATAGATACCTTTTTTGTTTTGTTTTTTCTGCTATTTTCACACGCGATTTCGCCATCTCCGAAATTTCAGTCACGCATTTTTCCACATTGTCGTTATTAGTAATAATAGTCAGCGTAATTATTAGTATACTATTAGTGATCGGTTAACCCTTACAAGTTATGCCCCACGGCTGTTTTGGCTAAATCTCCATCCTCCCCTGAGGACTCATATAAACTAATCTAATCACATCATCATAATTAATTGCGCCCTTTTATTATCTACATAGTCGCCGCATCTCAGTTGATTCATATTGTTGTTTGCGTTGTCATCTTTCTATTGTTGCTATTTGGGTGTATTCGTCTGCTTATTTATTTGTATGTTAATGATTCTATCACGTATTTTTTAATCAAGGTACAATATCTGCGGATGGCCAAACCCCCGATCTTGCTGTTTTCGCCTTCTTATTTATTATCACGCTCATATCACGTACGTTGCTGGCTCAAAACTGGTTCGTGTACAACCGCGGTCGGGGCAAATCACCAAACACCTGTAACGTATTTAATAATAATTATAAATATGCTAGTTGACCAGGCGTCTGCCGTGTATTTTAAATGCTACTAATAAAAGAAGAATATTAATAGAAGAGAGCAAAGCGCATAATGGAATTTTTGCGTGTCAGCTAACTGACATTGTTAAATTGCAGGACTTAGAATCAGCACGACTTCCACTTGAGCCTCAATGCCCCATTCAAATTCAATATATTTCTCTGGATAAAAGTGCCAAACTTCAAAACAAGCAGTGAGGGCAGTATATTTTTGGAAAGTGCTTGGAAAGAATATATATTTCGTAAGTGTGTAAGCTAGACTTACCTTTGTGTGGTCGTCCACCATGCGATCAGAGATATCTCTCATAGAACGAGCGATATCCTCCAAACACTCAGGTCTCGCCAGACTCGGTTCCCGTGCGTCGAGTCCCTCTTCCTCGGGCCGTAAGCTTGCCCAGTTAGCTGCATCGACAGGAACCTGAATAGGTGCTGAAGCTGCGTATTGTGTTAAATCCATTGATGATCTTCGTGTCCTCTCCTGACTTAGAGCAGACACCACTTCATCGTCATCATCGAACTGTTCGTCACCGTCTCCCTCGGCACCCATTTCTCGAGCTTCCTCGGCTTGTTCGATTCCACCTTCACCATCTTCGTAAATGGCCTCATCGTTAAATTGCATCTCAAACACGTCATCATCAAACCCGGCTGTTCCCGTTATTCCTCCAGATCCGGATGATTCTCTATCCCGTAGGCCAAATCCGCCACTACGTTGCGAGGCCTTCGACTCCATCGACTCTGATCGTGCCACAGAGAAGCTGGAGCTTTTCGTTGTAGCTGTAGAAAACCGACGTTCTTCCGCAGTTTCTGCAGAACGATGCGATATTGTGGATAAATTTGTATTTTTGTAGACAAAAGACAAAAACGGCGATAATAGTAACAATACGAACAGTCAGAAAAGCCAAGCTCAATCAAATATTAATGCACGTATGTCCTTTCTTCTATGGTTGTATTAACATAACATAATTTTTGTAATTCTGATGTCTGTCAGAAGATAAAGCTGAAACTTGCATTTAGCCATGTACAATTGACATGGAACCTGTATACGGCACACTCAAGGTCCTAAGAGCAGCACTCAATCCGTCACTCATTCATTCACTCACTCACCCTGATACTCGATGATTTTAAGCAGCGTGTTGCACTGCAGGTCGCACTTAGACTTTAACTGCCTGAGCGAGTCAAGCGCTCGTCGATGCTCCTCTTCTATTTGATATTGCTTTTCTGCCATTACTTGCTTTACTACTTGCGACACCTTCGACCGAACCTATCAAAGCACACCAAGCATTAACGCCACTAACTCATTATTCTATAAGGTTGTCATGGGCAAGTTTTAAATTAACACTTTGATGCTGTACCAGACGCTACTAAAAATATGTAGTCACATACTCCCTCTATGTAGCCAGGTACGAGCGAATCTTCTTTATGCGGACCGTGTTCAGCATTTTCTTGAAGGCCAGCAAGCTGAGTGTGGGCGATGGTTGGGTCTACTAAAATTTGGAAGCACTCCGAGAAAGAAGGATGGCGCCGTAGATCTGATATCCATGTTTCATCGCTGAAGGTAAAAAATGTGTTATCTTCTTTAATTGAGTATCGTATACATAAGAAATGCTCATTCGTCGAAAATAAAAACCTTTGGTCTATCTAACTATACATGTGATACGTACAAAGTTCTTTTGTGTTATTGCTACAAATATTTATACCAACAGAGCTTTCTATAAATATAGTTAAGACGACAAAAGAAAGCGAATTTCTCCTTAAACTAATGAAGCTGTTATTGTATTTTTCCTAGCTAAATTAAACGGTTGATTTGACTTTGCAACTTGAAGAAATATTCAGATATGTGCAAATCCCATTCCGAAAGACAAACACCTCATTTGCTAGCTTTGAATGTTTTATGAGCTTTCATTTAGAAATTTCGAACATAATATTCTATGTCGATCAGTCCCCTAACGATTATAAATTTGAAAGCTGAAAAATACGCCGGTTTTGTAATACTTACCGCCTCAGGTTGTTTGATACAACAAGTGCTTGAGGTTGTTCCTGATGTGGCTCTTGTTGAGTTTCCTGTTGTTTTTGAGAGTCTGAGGCTAGAAACGAAAACACTGGCGTATTGCACGCAAAGCAATGACGTATCCCGTGCTTCTCACGAAGGAGCCACTCGTGTACCTGCAACGAAGCAGACGGAAAAAGGAAGGTCAATGCGTACAAAACTTGTTAAATATTCAAGCCTAAAGAATAAAAAAAAACTAGAAGCTTATGAATGCACAATTTCGTTGCGAATTCATGACATATCATAAGATCATAGTTTACGTTTGCAAGATATATCGCTGGTAACTGGCTGTCGATACTCAAACTGATACTTTACCTCAACAAGAGCTCGCTCATCGCATTTAATTTGAGTGCTGAAATTTGGTCTTGTGTGCTATATATTGTTTTTTGAGTCGACTTTTGTAAGCAATAGAGAGCTCGTGCGAAAGCTATGGATACAAAAATACTATGCTAGATATAATTAAATTCTAGTGCAAAGGAAAGCTCACCACGCGTTTTTGCGGTCTCTCGAGTAGGATAAGTTGACCGCCCAGCGCAGACCGCAAATGGTCGTCTTCAAAGCTGCTTGTGGCCGTAGAATCGCACCGAAGTTCAACATTGAGACAGCCACAGGAAAACAACATGACATCACCTGCCTTGGCCTCCATTTCTGATGGCAATGACAGTTCTGCCTTTCAACAGTGATTGAACTATTGCGTTTTGTGATCTGTTTCTAACTCGAGGTCGTGCTGGTTTGTATGCATAGTATTGGCGTCTTGGGTAATGCAACTGCTCAGGGCATGCAACGTCTCAGTAAGTTCGCGTCGCCTGCCTTTCTTGAAGTTGTTGGTCGCCTACGACGCCTATTGTTGCTTCAGTTATCCTTTACCATCTATTTTTGTCTCTGTTATCGATGTGTTATACACACGGCAGCAAGAAGAGTTAAGCTATTTTGTTAGCAAAACTCAGGTATTAATAATCTTTTCTTCGTGTTGCTGCTGATGAGGATGATGGTGGTAGGCGTCAGCCCGTCAGATTCACGCCTCTACATCGATGAGCATTTAACTAATGCTTGATACATATTTGTGTGCACGTAACCCAAGTAAATTGAAGCAAGTCACGGCCAGTACTTCTGTTCCAACTATGCTGGTAACGGCGTTCCCTCACCAGAGCTGAGGCCTGCGTTTTCGTCGTTTCTTCTCACGGTTACCTCCATTCAACATTATCGCCAATCACCAAAACTATAATACAGTTAACAGCAATAAGAAACTATTTGTAGATATAATGCGTATCACTAAGTTACTCGTATCATTTCACCAATTAACAATACAAACGAAGCCTATTTTGTTCTGCTTTATTGACAATTAGCGTTCTTAGTAATTTTACGGTTTTCCAAGACCAAGTAACGACGTAAAGAAGCGATGCGTTTTTAGCCAATTCATTCAGCACTGTGTTCGAAATTGTATATAAAGGCTCGTTAGGATAGGAAGGTAATCGGTGAGTATTTCTAGCCTTTAAAACCATAAGCATTATTTTTGTTCACTCACAGCTGTTACGAGTACCTTTGAAGTAGCAATATAATTTAGCAGTTCATGTTATCTTATGACGTACAGTAACTTCTATTAAAAAGCACAAACCATTTCAGCACGGGCTTTCAGGCAGTAGCGCCAAGTCTAACCGGAAAGGGACCGTTGCAGCGGCACTCTGTGTCGGCAGTCGTCCCGTGTCTGCCGGTCTATTACTATCGTTGCCTTTTTCGTTAGTTCGTTCATTCGTTTGTGTATATAGATAGATAGATAGATGTATCCGTGTTGTCTTTCTTGCTGCTACTGCTGTTTGGCCTTCTCTGTTACAGTATATGTCGTCGATTGGTCCGCGCGCCAGCCCAGCCGTACGCCACATCGCGCTATTCCACAGCTGTAGCATAGGGCAGCCACTCACGTTAGAGCTCTATCAACAAAGAGCCCAGCAGCATTTCATCGCCGTACGCACGTTCACCACGTGCGATGACTAGCTAACAATATCGACACAGCTATTGCTACAGAACTGTTACTGTTGTCGCTGTTATATGCATAGATATATACATGGGGCATACTGCTCCAGCGTTAGATCAGCTGAACCGTTCGCGGCTGTGATGGGGATCATTTACCATTGACAGGCAGCTCAGCATTCATCAGAACAACGAAGACGGACTAACGAATAGAAAAGTCACTCGTTGATCAATAGCAAAAGCCGTAACACAATTATCGATGGCCACTACGATCACGACGACAACGACAACAACGTAACGAAATTCCTATGTGTTACAACCATTGCTCCTTCAGTTTCACAGACATTTAAATCGAAGCAACAAAATGTAGATAGTTTACTTAGAGAAAATTACCGTCAGCGACATTGTCTTTACCGTGTCTGCTTAATACGTGGTTCCTACACATCATTTCAGACAATGAAGAAAGAGAAACCTATTCTTTGTCCCTGTATCCTCACTAGGTATTATGCTTACCTTGGAAAAATCTTTTTCTAAAAAGAAAAGTTACCAAATGATACGTTTCCATTTGTCTAAGGTCTGAATAATCGGCTTGACTAATTCAATAGACGCATAGCTAATACTCCAGAGAGCTGTTGTCGAATCTCCTTGGGATGAGATCTTGACAACATTACGCTTGTGCCAACCAGTTTAATTTGTTCCTTCATAAAACTAGCGACAACAAAAAAAAGGTTTACAAAAAAGAAAGCCAAATGATCAAACTGAGAGATCTCCAGCCGAGTGAGATCGGTGAATATCGTTTTTTTTAAGAACGTTTTATGGCCGTATGCCGGTTTCGTACAAATCTACACTTTCAGTTCATGACTTTTCGGCAATAATACCTAGAGTTAATGTTTGTTAGGACTTGTCTTGTACTTCCCTCTTATTACTAGCCTTTACTTCACTTTAGCAGAAAATGCAGGACGGAGAAAGACGGACTCAGTATTATGTCGACATATGTTAACGAGCAATTTCTGTCAGTGCCTCAAAAAGACGAAGGGGAGGAAAAAAGGATTCTGTTCGCACTTGCGTTAATACGACAAACGCACGCGGTAGTAAGCATCTGGTATTTTGAGGTACCGATACATGCTGTTTTCTACGTATAGTTCACTACGTATCGTCATATAGTTAAAGGCAAGCTTTCCAGTACTAACTGCCAATTATAGATAGCCAAAGCAGCTAGTATAATTTGCTGCTCATTGTCACAGACATCACTAGTCTGTCTGTTTGTTCCTGCCGCAGTGGTAGGTTGCCGCGCGTCGGCGTGATTGGACGCGTGAAAGAGAAGCTTCGAAGAAGGCGCCCAATAACACCACGAAACGACTGATCTCAAACTTGCCATTGGTCACATTGACCTTCCTAATAACAGCAGCGGTAACAAGAACAGTGTTCGCAGACACCATTATTTGGGTCCTCAGTTTTACATGTGCGTGCTGCTAGGGACAATATAAGCCAGCAACACCTCAGACAGATGTATTTTTTTTAGGTACATTATCTTAGAATAATAGGCCGGCCCCTTTGCTTGCAGTTCACTCTGGTCTTTTAGCCGAGAAAGGCTTAGCTACGTTTCTATTAAGCAAAATGCGCTTCACAGTTTCATACTGATTATAACTAATATTTTTCTAGAAATTGTCTTGCCGATATGTCAGTCAAATTGGAGTCAGACAAATCGAATTAGAAGAGACATCGTAGCCTTGTTAGGCTAGTTTTTCAATGCGCCGTTAAATGCTTTTGTCGCTGCTGTTCCTGGACGGATTTAAGTTGCGGGCGTTTCATGCAAATTCAATAGCAGACAACTAAAGCATTCACCACATTCACTTGCGCGAGTTATGTAAAGGCTAGCTGCGTAGATTTAACAGATGGTATATTGACACATATTAGTAGTAGGTTTCAATCAATGCAAAATTCAATGAAATGTCTATCAAATCTTGAAATAGCAGAAGGGTAACGTCGTCGCTCGTCAGTATTATGGGTCCGGCTTAGGTTCCATAGGAAACGAAAATCTCGGAGTCCAAGTTATAGAATACTTCAATACAACGATGAAAGTTGACGTTAGCTTCTACGAGACGTTGAACCGTTAAATTTAAAAAAAACACATACTTCTCACTTGAAAGTTATCGCATAGCTTAACATCTGAATAGCTAGACATGCGTAAAGCGCGAGATTTTTGGGAATGAGTTTATTTTCTTATTCAACGATCAATATATGGTGTTGTCCTAAGGTGGCTACAAGACTCCACTGATTATTATGGAGCATTTACATAACAGAGTAAAAAGGGAGCACAGATTTGTTTCATGCCTGAGTAATGAAAATCCGCGCACAACATCAGCATGCTTTGGTTTGTAGACTTACTTCTTTATAAAAGTTTGCTTGAGATGACGACTTAAATTACTCCTAACAACTTTATTTATACTTCATAGATTAGGCTCCAATATTTGGAGAGTACACGAGGAAACACTGACTTGAGCGCGTTAATCCATTGACGCTGGCATCTTAATGCTTACTAAATAAAAACTTTTATCTAGATATGAATCGAATTTCGTCTTTCATAACGCCAGATACATAAAGGTCTACGGGGACGTCCCAGTATGAATCCACAAATATATAAAAAAGAAAAAGCTAACAATACACTCGCACTAAATTTGTCACCCATTCCATAGATGAGTCCCATGCACGCTCGCTGGAACAATACATCTAGTTGGATTGTCTGCTTTAGGTCAAAGATGATTAATCTAGCGTTCGTTAGGAAACCAGCCGCCAACCGTAAAATAATTCACAAACTAGAGTTCACGAAAACTACGAGGTGTAAAGAACCAAAGCGGTACCTACTGTTCTGCGATTGGTAACAGCTTTTGACGAAGCCACTTGATTAACCAACTATTCCAAATCCATTTGCTCATCGGCTTTAAAGCAACGTATATAATATCTGCGTATTACATTTAACCACAACACGAAATGAGTTTCTATAACTTCGCTCGTTTTTCTCTCTGCCTCTAATAGCCCGAATAGTTGAGTGCTTTACACAGTGAACAAGATTCATGTGCTTATACTCAAAGGCGCAACAATAATAACAAAGCAGAAATAGGGCAGAAAAAGTTATTACTGGCGTGAACTTTATCTATTCGTTTTTCCCTTAATCTCCAAGCTTTTGCTTTATTTCTCGTTAACAGATGATGCATACGAGTGATAAAAATCACTATTAATGTATAATGTTATTGTTTCCGCGCATGTTTTCTACGTGGCTATGACAATGCGATGTGCGCCCATGAAAAGTTCCAAATCCAAGGCCTGGAGACCAAAAGACACTGCAGGAATTAACAGATATCGACGTGTCCCCTACCCGCCGTTCCAAAAGCTATTTATACGTAAATACATGATGCTAATCGCTTCAAATGCAGGCCGCCAGCATGCTCCTCAACGAAGCAATCTGAAGCGTACTAGGAGACGCACTGCAACGAACGGCACTATGGTATTGATCACCGACTCGAACACCGTGTTCAGTGGCTAGTTACGGTTAGGTACCATTATTGTTGCCAGTAATAGTGGCAGTTCAATAACATTACAATCCGTGATCGATAAGTGCTTATTACTTAAGACAAGTCTGTGCATAATACTTAAAACGAAATATTGTCAATCAGACCAGATACATGTCTGTGTCATAGAAAAATTCCCGCGCATAGATATTCAGCGTCGAACTGTTGAATCGAAAGCAGGCATTGAAAATCGTCAAGATGGTATATAGAGGGCCCGTGTAAATCGGGTGAATAGTATATATCGCTCTGGATACGTTGTTGTAGTAACCATGGACATGATTATAAATATCACTGACTCAAATGGCCGGCCTTGGCTAAAAGGGCAATATATGAGGGGGTAATAAGGAACTACGAAAGTAGTAACTCTGCCGTCTAACATGTCTGTATATAGAGCACACTTTGTTTGTAAACAGGATCTGCAGCGGCGATCATCGTCTGCAAAATATAAGCTAGTCCTAGTAGATAAATGTGGTAGAGCTCTTATGCCGTTTCTACGTAACGCGTCGTTAGATGCCGCCAACACGTACTCCAGGTGGCTTTCCAGTCCCATCGGACAAACGTGCTCGTTTAGCAGCGGACAAGATCAAGACACACATCTCTGCTTCCTCCATGCTAATAGTTGAAATTAAAAATTTCAGGTACACCGAAAGTTTAAAGCGTTTCTTACGATATTTTGCAAAGTGACGGAAACCAACAGCTAGACACGCCTGCCTATTACGATCCGGTTAGTATGTTCTCGCTCTAAGAGCGATACTTTAAACCTATCCAGTTCATCGAAACTCCTACAGAAAAGTTGGTTATAGATTATCTCAACGACCTTGCTGGAGACGGGTGCTTCTAATGCTTCTAACTCTAATGCTGTATGTGAATGTACTGAAAAACAAGTTGTTAGGCCTTTTTTTTTACAGCGTTGGCTACCATAACCGCATTTCCGGTTTCGTCTTCAATGCGCTTGGCTTATCGGAACCACCGAGGCACTCTCCTCACGTGAACACCATCCCCTTCGTTTTTGAGATATGTATCGGGGGCGCGTCAAATAATGTCACCACAAAATGTCGAATTTTGAGACGACTTCCCAAGTAAACTATTGTCACCTGTGTACTACTCTGCGTCATCTTAACGAATAACCCCAATTTCCTGAGTGGCAGCCGGCTAAAATAGTTACCGGCAATAAAAAAGAAAAACGAAATAAAAGATGCTAGAGCTATTTCCTTACACGGCCCGGTTATTTGCTCGAATCTTACCATACATTTTTTTTGCGACTTTTTGCCAGTACGTTGACCAACCAGAAGAATAGGGGGTGGCTAAGTTGCATTGAACCTTTTTCCGCGAAGCTTTGTCGAACGCCGCAGATTATGGAGAGTGCGCGCCTTTGGCTTTGTACTACCTTCTTGATGTTAGCACTTAAAATCCACGTGCAGTGAAGGTTGTCCGGGGAACTCATGCTGTTCAAGTAGCAGAAGACTTTGTAATTCCAAAACAATTTTAAGGCGCTGTACCGATAATTTCCGACACACTTTTTCTCTTTCTTGCGATGCTTTTACCACACTTTTATCATACTTTATCAGGCATGCGATTGCTCGAAGCAGAATAGGTGCTCACTTTAGGTAATCGCTATCCGGTCCTGGAGTATCAACGTTTTTGAGGTATAAAGCTGCTAAACTGACCTGTCCGAACGCGAAGGTTTTTTCACGCACAACATAAAACTTTCTGTGTTATTTTCTCTAAATGCTTCGCGCGACTTAAGATGTAGTACAGATTTGACGATGCGAAATAAACAACGTCAAATAAAAGTCACTCATGTGACTTTTTGCATAATAATGATAAAAATCATTATCATCGTAGTACTAGCTATTGCGAGATACGACAAAAACGATCACTTATAACCAGCTAATTTATCTAAGTTTTCTTGTCACTAGGATATGGTAACAGCAGCAGCCGTACCACGGGCGCGAGTGAATGGCACAAGGGCGGATAACTCGGACAAAATGAGTAGGCGGGTTGATTGACACGCCTTAGTGCCTTTTTGCTTGCTAAGAATAATCGTTAGCAAAAGAAACAATAAACTCAACATAATAGTCATAACACTGAGTTCTACAGCAGTACACGGACACGGTTCGTAATAGCGATTGTTCATCACACGGCCGACGGGCCTGACGATACACTTTGACTTACGTACTCGTCTGGAGCCGTTAAACTGAATACAATTGAAAAAAAAATCAGCCAGTTATACTACAGAGCAACTGTTCGCAGTGTATCATCAGCAGCAGCAGCTCTGCATAACAAATCAAAGCATACAAATACTAACATAGTGAGTGTACGTTCCAGCTGATATCGAATGCTCCCGTCGGTAGTAGCGGTGATGGTACTGTGGCCACTTGTATCGCTGCAAGTCCTCGCTGACAATGTTCATATAATAATAACAACAATGCTATTTATAATATGCATACAGAAACAATCGTTGATGCTGCTATTACTCTCATTGTTGCTGGGTGCCATTCTAACTATACGATTATCATACCTACACAGGCTAAGTCACTCACGCAGAGCGCCACAGTCCAGCCAAACGTATCGCTTGTCGAGGCGTCGCTAATCACGTCTACTGACGGACGGACGGATTGTTGGTGTCCTTCCGCGTAACAGCAACAACATCAGCTACGGTCACAGTGCTAATCGAAATAAACTTCTACCTACTACTCCTATGATTGTTGCCATAATTCGGAAAATAAAATTCAAGCTTATTTACAAGAGGCCACTGAGTGCTTTGTTGCTGCTGTTGCTGCTGCTGCTGCTGCTGCTGCTGCTGCTGCTGTTATCATCATCATCAGCAGCAGGGTCATCTTTCAAATTGGCTATCGTATCAGTTATCGTTTTTGTTGTTGTTGATAATGCTGGTGCTGATAGTGTACTACAACAAATATACGCTGATTCTAAAAACCACTTTGCGGAACTCGCAGCAGCAGCAGCAGCAGCAGCAGCAGCAGTGGCGACTGGGCCAGCGGTATCGTTGGCGTCGAGTAGAACCAAGCTATCCAAGCCAGCAATGCTGCTATAGCTGAACTACTTACTATAACGACCACTTGCTGCCGTTTCACTTCTAGCATTACGACTACGACCGCTGTAATAGTTAATAACACTTTTGGTATAGCTGCGCTAGCACTTCAGTTATATACAATCAATCAGACTCGTTTCTCAACTTATACTCAGCACTTTTGAAAATGAACAGAGTTAATGGCAGTTTGGCTGTTACAGCTTCTAGTCATTCTAACTACGGCTCGTGTAGCAAAAACTGGTAGTCGACAATGAATACTATATGAAACAACTCAACGAACGGCCTTTCATTGACGACGACGACGACGACGACGACAACAACAACAACAACAACAAAATCAGAAACGAAAAGCGCACAACATCTCTCCAACTCATCATCGTTGACTTTTTGCACCGCCACCACCATCATCATCATCGTCGTCGTCGTCGTCGTCGTCGTCATCACCATCATCGACGGTGGTGGCGGCGGCGGCGGCGGCAGCAGCAGCAGCATCAAGCTACCACCCTACCACGACCATCCATAGTAACAACAACATACCTGCTTTCCTTTGCTTTGCTGCCTCCCTTCTGTCTGCCACCTCTACGACTACTGCTACCACTACTAGAAGCAGCGGCGACTGCAGAGATTACGCTACAACTATAGCGCTGACAACAGTAGCTATAGTTTGCTGCTGCTGCTACTGCTGCTGCTGCTGCTGCTGCTGCTGCTGCTGCTGCTGTTGCTGCTGCTGATTCGTTTAGTTGATCGTCGCCCGCATAACACCACGTAAAAACAGCAGCAGCAGCAGCTGCTATGGCAGCAGCTTTTGCACTAGTTGCAGCACAACTACCGTACCACAGCTATCGCACACGGTTCGCTAGTAGTGGTAATAATAGCGGCAGCTATCCACAGCAATTAGTAGACAAATAACCAGCGCAGCGCACCACTGTTGGCGATACCAACACCATCGACTGTACCCGTCGTCGTCGTCATCATCACTATTACCACCACCATACAGCGTAGCGCAGCGCCCCGCCAACGGCACAGCCACTGAGCTAAAGTGTACTTTCCACCAGCAGCAGCAGCAGCAGTTCTACTATCAATCACAACAAAAACAATACCAACGGCATCAACCGCGGCAGCAGAAGCAGCAGCGGCAGCACTTTTACCTATATTACCGTCGCCGCTACAAGCAGCACAGCACCAACCAGCCGCGCATTTACTGCACAGTATCGCCCTTCTACGGCAGCAGCGGGAACAACAATAATCATCGACTAGCAGCCAGCTCACAGACGACCGGTCGATGAACGAATAGCCGCATTCGCGCGACATCAACAACAGCAGCAGCACGATACAGACAGACAGCAACGGTCGCAGCATCAACAACATCCTTCGCGTATCGACGGATGTGAGGGCCGATACAGGGACAACACTCAATAGACGCATTATCGAACTGCCAGGTCTAAGCCCCGCACAAAAAAGCCTGCCCGGAGGATGTCCGGCCGACACGACAAAGATCACCTAGACGTTTAGAATAAAAAGAGACCCACCACCCAAATGAAGACACACAGAAAGCTTAATTTAGTGCGGTGATACATGGCAGCAGAAGCGCTAACGGAAGACCCTCGACAAGAAAGGGAAGGAAGGATATCGACAACGCGTTCTTGTTTCAACCCGGAGAAGGGCGAGAGGGGAGACGGTTGATGGGGCGTGCGTCTAGCTGGATATGTGCGTCAGATAGACCGATCACTGCCGCAGTAACGTATTGTAGCGTAGCTTTCTTACGCTAATAGAACGGCAACAAACCTATGTTAATACGGTTTCATTTAATCTGCCTGGCTTGGAACGGGAAGATGAGAGCGGGGCGAGGTTCTACAGAAAGATAGACTACGTGGGGCCTCACACGAGATTAGTCGATGTAACAGAAACAACACAGCATAGGGCAGATCTAAACATCCTACAGAGTTATCTATAACCGAAATTTAAAAATGAAGGTTCGATAAAGAATGCAAAAAAAAAAGACATAATAATCAACTAATAGGCGAAAATCAGCGAAATTCAGTAGGTAAGTTAAGACATATGTTTTCCGAAGTTACGTAATGATTACAGGACACTAATATTCAGATAATAATGATAATTATAAAAAGAGTATGGCTTTCACTTACTCATAAATTCCTTTTCCAGTCTGCGTCAAGCAAAAAAATTCACTTTGACCAACAATTTCTTCATCACTACACTTAATACGTTGTGATTATACTACTATTATTATTATTATTATTATTGAGGTTTTCATTAATAAATTATTCAACTTATTAACATCTGAGCATCTGCTTGCAAGTGCTTATGAAAGTCGGACAGATGAGAGCTATACGATTTATTTTATATATTTTATGTTACGATTGACAGAACTGTCATGGAATCGACTGAGAATAGAATGTCTGCTTTCAAAATTTGCCGCGTGATGTGTGTCTTATGTCGAACTGCCGTTCACCAGCCATCGACCCAATCAGCCAACCAGTCAATTAGTTTCGTTCCTCTCCGTCTCCTCCCTGTACGCCGTTGGCCGCTAAAGCTTCTAGTTGCAGCGGCGATTTGACGTCGTCTCCTGCCGTTGCTTTGCTTGACTCGTCTGTGTCCTTGTTGGCGGTCTGAAGTGAGCGGTGAGCGGAATTGTGGCACACGCAGCAGCAGCAGCAGCAACAGCAGCAACGAGTCGAGAAGTTGATCCCGGGCGAGGTAGGCGCGACGGCGCACGGCCACACAGACATACGCAACCAAAAGGCAGGTAGACGGTGTTATCATCATCCTTACACTTATCAATATTACTAGTATATATTGAATATGTGCATACCGATAAACGTAGGAGCAGACGTTCATTAAGAAACGGAAAAACAGCACACATGCGATAGCATAGTTAGTTCACGTAAGCCATACAGACACACCACCTATCGACCTCCATACATTAACCAATTTATACGTATTATTACTATTACTGTTGTTATAACGATAGTGATGAAAGGCGCACACACGCTGCATTTACCCCATCGCATAGTAGCCTCGTAATATTCTCTAGATACAGTTGAGCTCGTAGTCGTCCTATCGGCGCGACGTTAATGGCGGAATCGTCGCTGCTGTTGGGAGACGCCATTCGAAGTTCATGTTGGGCTTTGTGGGCTGACTGACGGAGTGACTAAGTGGCTAAAACGATTGCTAGTACCTACCTGTTTGTTAATCTCGTTATTGCTGATGATAGCAGCGGCAGTGGAACACGTCGTGAAAGTGAAAATCATTTCGGTTTGTGGTGCTTTCGATTGTGCTTCTTCTGTGCTGCAATGATCTCTAAAGCCATCGAACCTTAGCCAAGAATCGTGAAATGAGGATTTATTACTGAAATCCTTTAATGAATGATAATCAGCCGCTCAGTTAAACCAGGCAGCCGCACGGAATTTTTTAATTTTTTGGCGTGTTGATTAATACGTTCGCCTGGACACAGGCTTAGCGCATTCACACTGCGTTTCACACCTTACATGATTTGTTATTCAATATGCAAAGCATTTCTAAATATGATATAGTCTTTTATTATTAATATTGCCATTTTGTGTTTTATCGCAGATAATCGCGTTTCCCAAATCGTCTCAAGGTTTGGCATTTCTCGACATTTCTCTATAGATTCGGTGTCGATTCGTAAACTGTTACTCGCCGGGTCCAATTACGCTCCACTCGGCCGAACAACAAATCAACAATGAAGGGTGAAAACGGCGACTCGGTAAGTCTAAATTAATTGTGTTCTTCATGTTTTGTCGCAACAGCTATGAATAAAACTATAAATGATAGATTATGATGCACGCATACATCCTCTGTTAGTAGAAGTCTGTGCTTATTGAAAGATTTGTAAGTATCAACGTGCGCCTCGACATGTGCGTGAAAATGGAACTTCTAAGTAGACATAAGTACAAAGGTAAAAAAATCACAGTACGTAAGTGTTTATTACGTGAGAAGCATGTTATTATTGGATGAAGTCAAAACCTCAAAACAGCACGCATCTCCAAACAAAAATAAGGCGCCCTCTATCTCTTAACATTTTAATATAGCCAGTGCTAAAAGCGCAAACTTACATATCACGTAAGCGTTATTTCAGTCTTCACGCGCAGTGTAGAGGCTGCGACATTTAAAGGCGGGAACAGAATCGCCTTTGACGCAGCAGAGTACTACAAAAGAAATGTAAATTCTCAATACCGCTCAGCGTAGCGGCCTTGTTTTTAGGCCTGTATATAGCGTTGTTATTTTTTTTATTAAGGTTATGAAACGCGGGATGTTGTTGAATGTGCAAAATAGAACAGCATAATAAGTACGTATTAATGGAAAAGGCGCTGAGCGTTGGTAGAAACTGCCACGATCTCTATCTGCAACGGGCAAAGCGTACACAATAATTCTGTCTCTCGCTGAGAGAGAGGGGATGCAAGGTAACTGGGGGACTGATTTTCGATCAGTCACTCAAGGTCCTCCAGCAACAACAGGACTGCAGCAATCGATTCATTGATTTCAACTGTAGCTAGAGATCAAATTCCTGGGAGGGGCAAGCAATGGTACGAAAAAAGCCGTTAATGCTTTACTGGATACCGCACAGCTAAGGTTTTTTATTGAATCTTTGTGCTGAATAATTGTATTTTCCTTTCCTATACTGCCAGCAGCCAACGCAATTAATGCAGGGGTCAGTTAACTCTATCAGTAATTTTTTCTTTGGCGATGAAATTAGTGAAAGTCTTTAGTAAGTTTGAACTTTACGGATCCAAAATATCCTCTGTTGCAAAATACTGTGAAATCATTATGCATAGCCAACAGAAATGAGTGTCTCAATGATACAGACAAATGCATTGAGACACTCATTTCTGTTGGCTATTGGTCTGCTATATATATATATATATATATATATATATATATATATATATATATATATATATATATAACAGACTAGCTTCTATACCTGTTGATTGAATCTTAGAAAGTCTATTACAGAGTTGATTGTGAGTCATTTCTAGAGAAATTAGCAAATTTTTAGTTGCAATTGTAAAGGAACTTTAACCTCTGCCGACATGAAAGGATGCATGCGCCAGCATATCGCGGCACCATATCAGAGATAGCTTTGCTTGATCATTCGAAAATTGAGTATATACACCATATGGCCTTGCATTTGATTCAGCGCTAAAGATTTCGTACTATGAAACTTTTATTAGTTGGTTTGTTGTTTAGGGTAGTCTACGTAGCTTGATTGCGTGAGGATCTTAAGCATTATCGAATCAGTTGACCACTGCAAGGTGTGGGTATAAAAGCTGTTATTAGTTAACAGCCTACGCCTACCAGCCACTCTTTTTCACTGAGTTGAGTGTTTGTGCATATTGAAGGTTATAAATTCGTTTATGGTTGCCGCATCGGCCGCGTAAACAATAAGTTTAGACTATTTGTTTGCTGTGTGCTAAACTGTTCTTAAGCGTTATAATAGCTTTTAATATTGTCCCAAAAGCTGGGGCGTCTCCTTGCAGTTGTTGTTAGTGAACAGGTAGCACTGGTCATGTCGTTACGGTAGCACCAAAAAAAAATTTAGTAACGTGGTAGCGTCTTTCCGGTGTCTATATAGTAGAGGCAGCAGATCCTGAACGGAATAAAGCTAATGGTAGCTGGGAAAATAAATTGCCGTATAATATCCCTGCACGTGTTTTGATTGGCATCGTTGTATAGGCAAAGAGACACAGGTGTCTCTTTTTTAGGAATTCAGGTTTTAGGATTGTCCAAATCCAAGCCGGCACATGCAATAGCTGAGAGATAAAGACACAAAGTCGGGGGTTGACAACCATTCTTAGTATTCGCATGCAATTCTTAGCCTGCGGAAGGAACACGCTCCGTTGTAAAATACAAACGACGGCATACGGTAGTGTTCACTCAATGGTTGTGGCAAAAGAAGCCAACCTGCCTCGCCTGTATACATTGCGTGAGCGTATACCTATAAGTAATACTTTTGATGGACTCTGGCAACAATGGTCAGAGTACTGCCGCCAGCTGTTAGTCTCAGATAAATCCAGCTTTGTGACGAAGGATGAAAACCGAATAGGCTTTGGTCCTCCATAGCCGCCGTCCTCATCTTCTATAGCGCACCGCCATCATCACGATGATCGTTATAGGCATGCTCACGCACTTTTGTGTGACGAGAGCTTCTCCTGTTGCTGCCGCATTGCAATCCATGGGTTCTATCCGACCGACTTTCCGTGTCATTGGTAACTGTGTGATGATTGGGCACCATGACAATAGTAATAGAATTCGCGGCCGCCACCATTGTATTGCTTGAGCGGGCTCAGCCGCAGTAGTGAAAGTGAATGGTTATGTGTTACGTAGCTGGGTCAGTAGCTCACTGAGCTGAGATAAATTGGTCGTAATAACACTGAAATATAGTTATACCGCTAACGAAATTAATCCAGAAGATAATCCTTGAAACTGATATCTGTTAGAAGCCCGTAAAATGATTGTTGTAATCATTGCGATATATACATATATGAGGCGAGTTTTCTGTGTTTTCATTTCATAGCCGGAAAACGGAACAAGATATGCTCTGAAAAGAATTATTACTCTAAAAAGCGAAAAGTGCAACATACCTGGGACAAGAACACCACATATATATTCTATAATACTATCTTATAATGCTATATGCTTAATATATGTGTGAGATACAATGGCAACAACAATAAATACTGTAGTTATTTAGATCGTTTCAGTATCAGAGTACCCTGTTGTGTGCTTATAATATAGCATTATAAAAATTGTTTTAGAGTGGCCTTATTAGTCAAATGCGCATTTAATTGCATTAATCTCCATATCTGCTGCTATATTGATAAATGTATGATGAGGCTTCTTGTCTTGCCTATATATATGTATATATTAGTATAAAACCTTGTATGATTAGTACGTTCCTCTTATTAATCGAAACGAACAAGCTCATTGGTTTCCATGAACTTCTTACAGCAATCCAACATTGATTTGCCGACTAAGTACTTCAAACTACATATTTAAGCAGTACGATAGACATATGGCTGGGTTTTACTAAACACTATGCACCTATGAGGAAAGTTGAGCTGTCTTTGAGTACTGCACGTTGAAAATACCGTTGGTCTTGAGAGTTCTTCTAATTGTTAGGATTTCCGCTATCAATTGCCAACTATTGATGTCCAGCAGTTAACACTCGGCCCTGCATTAATGTTGTATTTGCTATAGCATTATGACCCCTGAGTAGCGGAAACGCCACAGAAGCTACTAATTGTATGACACGACTGGTCCCTATCGCATTGCAAGCTATGGCTAAAGAACGTTGGTAAAAAAATATGCTCTTACTGTTATGTCCTATTTACTAACATGTACTAAAAAGGTTTCATTAAAATTCTATCCAGATATGACCTTACGCGGCATTGCGATTTCTCCCTTCTTTTGTTTCAGAATGGAACCTCCTCCACGGAACCGGAGTATATGCGGAAGTTATTTATCGGCGGCCTAGACTATAAGACCACCGAGAAGACATTAAAGGTAGGGAACATTAACGGAGGGCTCTTGAATTATTATTCGTATTACTTTCATTTTTAAGCATGTCTTCCGGTATTCTAATATGTTGCGCTTTTATTCAAATGAGATTCATCATTCGAGAACGCATGTTGTAACTACTTTTAATAAAGTAGCCACAGCATGCGTTTTTTGTACAGTAATATGCATCTCTAGTGGAACGGATTACATACATTTACAAGTTTCCGCTTCTAGGGTTCATGTAGTTACAGCTAACTCTTCCTTTTTCCTCACTTTTTTTTTCAGGAATACTATGCTCGTTGGGGCGAAATCTTGGACTGTGTCGTGATGACGGACCCATATTCGAAGCGATCGAGAGGTTTTGGGTTCGTAACGTATGCGGACTCACACATGGTGGATGATGCTATGGCAGAGAGGCCTCATAATATCGATGAGCGCACCGTTGAACCAAAGAGGGCCATTCCTAGGTAAAAACAGTCTGCGAAAACTACTCTGCCTTCGATTGTTGCGTTAATAAAGCCAAGACCGATGGATATAAGCTAACGACTACAAAAATTAATTTGTTTCTCAGTGAAACAGAAGATAAGAACTATTGCGGTTTTTGCCATTTTAAACAAATCGATACTTTATCCAGTTGTCAAATGTCTCGTGTTGTCTGACGACAACAAGTTTTATAATACTAGCAGCTGGCGTTGGCACCGTTTAATCGGAATAAGTTACTTTCCGGGATCGTCCCGCTAACAATCTTTTGTTCGTGGCAGGGAACAATCGGCGGGAGATACGAATATGTCTGTGAAAAAACTGTTCGTTGGAGGACTTTCGACAGAAACAGAGACAGATGACCTTCGCGCCTATTTTAGCAAATATGGGGCCATCGAAGAGGTGATCATCGCAACAGAACGTGATACGGGTCGTAAAAGAGGCTTTGGTTTCGTGACGTTCGATGACTACGATGCTGTCGACAAGGTCGTTCTGCAAAGGTAAGAAAATCTATTTATGCATACCAACTTAACATTTCTTACACCGTTTGTACGCATGTGGTAAGTTAGATAACCCTCTGTTCGTTGATGTTTTGCGGCAGATACATGCTATACTCTCTTATTGTAAACTGATGGGCAATGCTATCTTTACAGTAGGGTTCTGAACAAACGTTAATGTACGATTTATGTTTGTTCGTCATTAGTTATTAATCTGCATTATGTGCTTGTTAGTTATATATCTAAAACTGCCTGCTACTATATTTGATGGTTTACGTTGAATCATTCCAATAGGCATCATATGATTAAGGGTAAACGGACGGAGGTGAAGAAGGCTTTGAGTAAAGTTGAAATGGAGAAGGCCAAGAGAAAGGATGCCTTTATGGGACCGCCTTCCCACTCCCATCATGGAGGTCATGGGATGGGGCCTCATCGCGGAGGCCCTGGTGGTCCTCGAGGGTAAGCTTCTTCTTTACAGAGATAAAGTCGCAGTTTGCGCAAACTGAAATATTACATACGCATGCCTGCTTTACTCTACATAGTCTCTACATAACTGTAAAACTAATTGATACCAACGTTGCAACGCATTAACGTTTATTTTTAGAGGTTACGGTTCCCGCGGATACGGTGGAGGTTCCTCGGAGTGGTCTGGCTATGGCGGTTGGCAGCAACCTCAAGGGGGGCATGGAGGTGCCAGTGCGTATCCTGGCTATTCCACTGATGCCTATTCAGGTAAAACTGCCACTAGAAATGCTAACTCACGGCATTCTTTAGTAAAAGTATGTAAAAAAAAAAAACGGGTGAAAGACGTTACCAAAAAAAGTGTGCCCGCTGTAAGATCACGAGTACAGGCATCACATTGACGTTTATGACGTTGACCTTTGTGAACACTTGTGAACCTGTTATGTGAACACTTGGTATAAGTGTTCACATAACAAGTAGCATTGGGCAATCTTTATAGTTACTATAGCAGAAATGGCTAATATCTGAAGTACATATTCGCTTTGTATGAATAATAGATTTTTGTCAATGTACGTATGCACTGGTGGTGACTTCGGCCTTTGATGTGGCTAAATATCTTCAGGTTGGGGCAGCAGCGGAGTCGGCGGCTCATATTCCGGTGGGGGTTACAGTACCGGCTACCATCCAGGCTACGGGTATCCGGACGCTCAGGGTGGTTCCGGTGCTCCGGGACCTTACCGCGGTGGAGGCTATGGTGCCAGTGCCCGTTCAGGTGCCCAGCCCTACGGCGGTGAGTACGCAACGCGCTCCGTTTCAGCTAGAAGTCAGTATTAGATGCCGAACAACGTTGCCGTCAATAGTAACAGCAAAAACAACCGCAGCCGCATTGAAAGCAGCAGCAGCAGGAAGCCACACATCGGCACCAAAATCGACCGATCCACCAGTTAGCACTGTCGACCGATCTATAGTACCATACCTGTCGTGATGCTGACTTTCTATAGATACGACACACAGACCAACAGAAACACACGGGCACACACATATATATGTATACTGATATATATATATATATAAAGCAATTCACGGACATACACGTTACTTTCGTTTCACTACTTTATTGAAGTAGATTTTGTCAAAGATGTTGACGAGTGGTCTGCTCAAGCGGAGGCGATCCGTCTAATATAAAACTTGACATAAAGAAAAAGAAAAACAGCCGACCAAGATCGAACGGCCTGTTTTAGTTTACGGAGTTATTACCGACACGATATATAATACGGAGAAACGTAACCTCTAGCAGGTGGTAGCGCTCTGCGCTGCATAAGAATGAAAATTCCAAACTCAAGAAGATGAAGCAGAAAGATATGAGAAACTTCAGGTATTGGACTCGGTAGACCCTGCAAAGGTGAATGGAACTATGAAACAGGAGCTGGGCGATCGGGTTGGAGGAAGGATTAGGAAGTGGGTCGTGGGAAGACCGTGAACGCCGCCGGGAACTCTCGATATATATATACATATATATACACGCATAGATATGATGAAAAAATATATATAAGCTAAGTCAGTGGCAACACTTAAACTATCAATACCATCATTAGAATGAATATTGTGTGGAAGTAAACTAATATGAAAAATGGCAAAACTGGTAGACATGTTGTCGATGCAGGACTGAGTTTCTAATGAGGGAGTTGCACCTCCATTTATCCGAAAAGGATATCAAGAGGGCTGAACTATGTTCAGGGGAAAAAGGGGGAACGCATACTTGCTCTGCTCAAGAGGCGTTAGCGAAGAGAACTAATTATGAGCAGATTGAAAGGAGGCAGCACATACGGAAACTAGCTATGATCAATGTAACAATAATACAATACGACAATAACATAGGCAACGCAAAAGTAACAACACACGAGAAAGGCAGGAAAAAAGTATATGAAGCTTGTTGCAGATAGAAGAGTTCTATCTGAGTGAGAGGGAGCAAGAGATATTCTATTGTATAATAATAATAAAGAGAGATTATCCCTTAGATTGAGGTAGTTTTAGTTATGGTCGGGGCAAAGGATAGGGTGTGGGAGGTACGGGTGGTCAGAGTAGTATCGAGAGTAGGCTCTCGCTGTGTTTTTTCCTTTGTTCTAATTCTGGCAGGCTATCTATACGATATTTCGTTCTCGACAGCAGCTCTTCGTAGGTGGCGAGGAATAGGAAGGCGAGCAAAATCAGGTAGGAAACTATATTTAAGGCAGCAGCGGCGGCGATTACGGCATAGGAAGGACTTCGTAGACAGGCAACAGACCCGGGACGCAAAAGAACGTTAAAACGAACGAAATGAGACACAAAAACGTGACGAAACAAACGATGTGTATAAGAGTGTGACGTGCACTCGAAGTAGGAGATTCATGAGTATATTGATGAGGAAGACGTGATGATGATGATGATGATGGTAGTGACGATAACACCTGATAATGATAAAAGCAGCTGACCATGTTGGCGTGAAGGACACGACTTGAATGGTGATGATGATGATGATCGAGAGGGCGGCGGCAGTCGAATCCATAATCGCTGATAGGTTCAGTATACGGGAAGAACCCTGGTAGCTTCAAACAGCGACAACTGGCTGTTTTATCTGTTTGGACGCTTTATGCTGCAGCTTATTAAACGTGTACGAGCGTGTAGGAGATAACAGAAACAGGAAACAACACGAAAACACGAATAGCTACGATATTAGGGAAGCAAACGACTTGCGTGTTTAATGGAGTTACGTCTAATAAGGACCTAACAACAAACACCGAACAATATTTTAAACCGCGTGTCGACCTGAAGAAAACACCCGTATCTCTCCACAAAACTTCTACCCGTGTCGAAGAAAGAACAAAATTACACAGAAGGACGATATGCCATCATATATTCATTGGAAGTATCGTTTACACGCGAGTGTCTCTGTGCGTATGGTCTGTGTGGCTGAGCATTTATCTATAACCGTTGTCCTTCTCATTATGACTCTTTATTATTATTATTATTATAGTTTTAGTTTTAAATCTATGAGTGCATGTATCATACGATTGTATAACATGTATATATTCGTTGTAAATAGCCTTGTACATGCCAATGTAAAATAAAGAACTACAATTCAGACCGTTATTTTTAACTAAACATATGACCTTTAGAGAAATAAAATTAGTTCCTCAATAAAATGTATTTTATTGGAGAACTAATTTTACATGATCATATCGAACATTTACGATGCTAAAAAAGGAGTTGTGTATCTATGTATATTACGTAAGTCTTATAGATTCTAACTTCATAGGTATTTGTTTTCACAACGTTAAGTATAATAATGGCCCTATATTATATTTTAGTACAGTAAATGATTGCGACTTATGACAGTTGTTTTGGAATTGTTTTACGCGAAATTTGGCATGATTGCGAGACGAGCCGCTCAAGTTTGCTTTTTGTGCTTTTCTATGCTTTTTATCACGGAGCAACCGAAATGCATGCGGTTAACCTATTTTTAAAGGCTAGCAGGAAAAACCGCGCAGAATGATTTTCAAAAACAACAAAAAGTAAATGACTGCGACCATTCGACTTTAAATTGGAGTTTTTACTTATTAGCGAGGAATATTAATAATGTTAAGCAACAACGGTTCATAAATTTTTGGTAATTTTCGCAATGATGATTTAATAATAATCATGAGGTGAATTTTACGTGTCTCATGAGTATATATTGTGAAACAGGTGCGGCTCATACCTCGAGATTCAGTAAAAAAAAAAAATAGATATGTACCCCGCTAGTCGAACCTAGGACTCGCTAATTGCTCATGTTTAGAGTGCACTCGTAATATATTCGGAATTGAAGCCGACCGAGCCAGAGGTATTGCTGTCTATTGCAGGAAATATTGGCGTTGAGAGGTTTCAGCCCGTAAAACCTTTTTGACCAAAGCTTGTATCTTTAAGAACGTAAGCCTAGGTTTTTCTGTTGTTATTAATGTTCATGCGATCTTCGACTAACGAGGCTAATTTTGGACTCGCATTTTAGCCAAGCTAAACTTATATTGTTTACAAAAATGTAAAAATAGTTCATGATATGTTTCACTAACCAACGATATTGATGAGTGCTACCCTAGTTAACTAAAGCGAGAAGAATTTCACTTGGAAAAGGGTGTGTAACGAGATGTAGCGCTTCGATACAAAAACAGTAAGAATTAACACTGCATGACGAATGCGCTTCGGAAAAGTAGGCTGAAACACCTTCCGCGAGTATTATTAGCAGATTATTTTTAGATTATACATATTTTGGAATACTCCATGTAATACTCCCAAAAAAAGGACTAGAGTGATAGTCCATGACGGGGGAGAAAAGCGGAATGTCTAAGACCTTAAACATTCGACCTAAAGTTTCCGAAGAAACCAAAGCCAATATTTCAAAGCGTTTTCGAAGTCTCAGAATGTGTAAATCTTGTGACTATAGTTCTGGCCGATTTCTCAGCCTCTAAGCCACACGGAACGTAAGCAAAGCAAGCTATGAAGGATTATCTTTGAATCAATGAAATTTATAACTCCAAATATTTCCGCAAGGGTAGTAGTTATTATGGAGCAGAGCTGGTCCAATGTACTCTATCCCTTAAGCTTCTAAGGAACAGCGGTAACTCTGTTAATAATATTTATAATACTCGAACCACTAATTGAAATAAGCGTACCACCGGCATACAAAATCTGTTTCAGGAAATTACAAACATAGCTTATGTCGATTTCTCGTTTTCCGTTTCGTGTCGATTTCACGAAGTAATACTTTTAGTAAAGCCAGTGGAATCGCCGTGGACTACTGATCTCATCAATCCACACTTTGTTAGGTTCCTGTAGATTCATCATTTCCTTACGTCTTAGTATTTACTATAATATATCAAATAGGACCACAGTTTTAAAGTTGGGTTAAAGTAAATAGTTACTCTTTGACCTTAATGAGCGTAAAGGAGATAAGAGTAGCTCATGCGCTTTTGCATGGCACCACCTTTAAAAGCTAGTATTAAGCGGGACTTTTCTAGATCATTAAGAAACACCACGTAACCAGTGTAACAATTTCTTACAATCTCCTATAACAATCGGGGCACCGCAACAAACCAGTGGATGTCGAGTAAATAACAGAGTCGGTTGGCTTTATCTAACAGGTACCTTGCTTAGGCTGGGCCATGTAAGTTTACCCTATGTGATGAACTGCGAGAAAAATATTCAAAGTGGCCTAAGAAAGTTTCTATTTCAGTTTAACTCACTGCATACTATTTGTTTAGATAAAATCTTTGACCCGATTCGTAGATGTGAAGGAGGAGCAAACGGACGGGTATTAGTGAGCGCGAGCCGACTCGATCTGGCACCGACATACAATAGATGTATGCCCATGATGGCTTAGTGGATAGCATATTTGATGTCTAATATTAGTGGTCTAGGTTCGAACCCGAGCATAGACAAACGTCGTAACGTGATGAAATATCTGGCGGCAGTAGGTGTTGTAGAACTCGGAACGCAGAAATAATAAGTTAATACATAACTTATATTTCATTTACGGTTGTTTCACGTCATGCATTTGCGGCCCTAGTGGTTACATGTTAACACAGTAGTTATGTTTCTGTCCCTACCGAAACGAAATAAAACCATGTTACCTAAAATGCCTAGCTTTTTTTCCACGTACAAATATATTTCAAATATTATTTTGTTGGTGGCTTCTTTTAAAGAGGGGGTGTAGACGTTTTTGCATTTACCAGGTACGGTTGCCATTGCCTCATAGCATTATTTATTAGCAAACCATTCATTAGAACACGAAGTTGTATGCCATTTACGACAATTAGAGATATTCAGAGCTCATCGAAGATGTTCAGTGCTTATCTGGGTACAATTGCATAGTAGTAATTCGAGGCGTTGGGGTGTCACCTTTCTTTGTTCTTCCGTAGAACGCCATGTTGGTAATCGAAGACCAGCCGATGTAGTACATCCACCTCAAGTTAGGATTTCTGTAACAGACCTAATTTAAGACATCGTACTGTACAACACGAAGTCTTTGCACAACAAAAGGACCGTACAATAAGTACATCCATTCGGTTGAATTTATTTGACTAAGCTACGCATAATATGAAGCTTTGAAATGCTCTGCCCCAAGCAGCAAATACTTCTGACAACATCGCTGAATGGAATGAACTTCTATTCCAAAAATACGATATTATTAATATAAAATGGTTTTGCGTAGATTGCAAAGAAGTCTGTCATACAGTTTACTAGAGCCTTAATACTATAGTAAATCCATTTATACGCTGCAGCTTCGCAGTTGTGCTTTTTTTTAAACAGTACCTAAAGTTTAGGGGAAGTTTTGCAGACTTATCTTTAGAGTTTAGTTCTCTAAGAACGTTTAGAAATCTCTAAGAACGTGTCCTGGCTTTGTCAGCGGTAATGACCCAATGTAGTTCAGCTTAGGATACGGGGTGACGCTTGCAAATTAGAACAACCGATAGCTGAAGAAGGTCTTTGAACCCAGATATTTCCCAACGATGGTTGCAAGGACTTCTACATCCCACCAGTGAGGGCGCCCTAATCGTTTTTCCTTGTAGCTCTAATCCTAGTCCGGCCACATTCTCCTTGTTTACAAACAGTAGCGCTTTGTACAACTTGAGGGTGTAGATCGTGCAATAGTTCTACTCACTAGTTGTACAGTGTAATGAAATAGGTCAAGGTCGTAGATGATGTATTACATTGACTGCGTATATTCAGGTTCAATAACTATAACTGTGTTATATTACTTCGTATTTTACTTGCGAACGGACCACAGTAGGTTGAGTCAGAATAATGCCGTATGTAATTGAGCATGGAGACCAACCTGTTGAGGTTTTCTGGGTAAGAGTAAAGCACAAACATACATTCTAGTTCTGTTAGTAAAGTACGCTGACATGATTGTTATTTTATACTGAACAAAAAGCTACTGTGTAAATCCAAACTGCCCAGCCGCGGTGGGGCATTGACCTGATTAAAGATCACACGGACCTTCGCCA